TATCAACGTCAATCGGCTTATCAAAACTGGAACTGGAACGTCAATCGGCAATCTTTATCAAAACTGGATAACGATAACCGGCAATATTTATCAAAACGGGAAACTTTTACCTTCGGGTAGAGACAGACCACAAGGGACTGTCTAAAAAGCGCACTGTCGGAACGGTACCAAAAGCGGATGCAGACAGCGGTGGGGGGGACGAGCCTGTAGGTTCCCCTCCACCCGCCGCTCCCCCGCACGCCCGAACCCACCACCGCTCTCTGCATCCGCTTCTGTTCTTCTTAGTTCCGGGCAGCTCTCCATTGAAATACACTATTACTTCTGTTTCCTTTCCGTGCCGGTGTGTCTACATTTAGCGAATGAGCTATACCTTTTTCCTTTGCTTCCAGATGGACTGCGACGTGTGTATGGAAGCTTTTGATGCCGGCGAGCGACGACCGAAGCTCTTACCGTGTGGCCATACGTACTGCTTGAGTTGTGTGTCTCGTCAGGAGAGGAAATGCCCTGTCGATCGCAAGGTAAGCTGATACTGTTTCAATCGTTTGCAATGTTACCGTCGTGCTTAGTACCGTGTATTTGCTAACAATATTTTAAAACACGTCCTCCCCCTTGAAACAAAGCGTTCCCGTAAACCTGAAATGTAGAAGAATGCGGGGAACAAGAAAACGGAAATCGCTATGCTTTAGTATGGTTACTTTCGTTTTCTTGTTCCCCGCATTAATCTGCATTTCTGCTTTACCGGAATGCTTTATTGCGCATTACCAGTCAAAACCTACGAACTCGAAGTTGTCGTTAATAACGTTAACACTCTGTGTTAACAAATAGACGATCCGAATAAATGAAAATCTATTACAAAATTACTGCTACTAATTAAGTACGTTATTGCTTTCTACAACTAGAGTAGTTACGACTCTTTGTTCTGAGATTCACGGCCTTGTGCGTTGTTGTCGTCCGTCTTTGCTGACACTGACCCTACAAAACCCTCAAGGCGGAACAAAATCAGGGACTAACACTTCTCATCAGTTCCCTTGCGAGACCGGGCAGTTGTTGGGCGAGTGAGCGACATGGTGATCGCCCTCGCTTTGGACGAGCGTTAGACCGAGCAACCGGGTTGCTCGTCGTTGGAGTCGAGGCCTCGGCGGCCCTGCGCCCTGGCCTGGGCCACCTTCAGCCCAGGCTTGGAGGAGTGTTGAGTGTATATTGTTTGTGGGGCTGGGAGGGGAGCGCCTGGCGTCAGGGAGGAGACAGCTCAGGAAGCATTACTGTTCTTCTTTTGATCCGGTTTAAACTGGGTGACCCTATTGATAATCGTACGGCCATAATAAAACTTCACAGTTAATTCCATAGAACAAATCAAGACACTGTAAATGTGGGGTGTCCAGCAACTGTGCGTCAAAATTCGCACGACCCAGGTTTCTGTGCGACTTTTGTCGCACAATTGCTCGACATCTTGTGCTTTTGCCACTCTACCCTGCAGACGGGCCCCGGCAAGGGGTGTCCAAGCACAGGACACCGTACCGAGGCTGGGCCTGGACCCTTTGCAGAGAAAGGCTGGCGCTGGCAAAACTCCCAAAAATGTGATAAAAGTATCACATTTTTGTGATAAAATCATCACAAAAAATGTAATAATATAATTTTTGTGATGGTTTATCAGAATAATGTGATATTTTTGTTACGTTTTGGGTATTATCATACCGTTTCGCGTGGGAATCGCAAAACATCAGTTATCGCATGGTTTTGTGTTAACCCTCTATCGTCAATACTTAAATGCACCGTAAGAAAAATTAATTTTTTGTCATTTTCGTAGTCTATAGCCATCTAAGACCACTCAGGCAAAAAAAAAAGAAAAATACAAAATGACGTAGCACTATAGGGTATTCCAATGAAGCGCGGACCGGAAGCGAGAAGAACAAAACCGGAACGGGGAAAGGCGCCCGCGCCGTCCCCCTCTCCTCTATTAGACGGAGAGGGGGAGCGCCCGGGGAGGAGTAGGGGGCAGTCGGGGAGGAGTGCAGGCGCCTTTCCACGTTCCGTTTTTGTTCTTCTTGCTTCCGCTCCGCGCTCCATTGGAATATCCTATTAGGGTACGAGCTACAGGCTGTTGCTTCTGAGCAACAAATCCTGATACAGGTCCCGCGATTTGAAGTCTTTATACCTGTATCGGCGTTTGTTGCTTCTGAGCAACAAACGTCCTCTGGCTCTCCCTGCAACTGTATTAAGTACCATAACCGCCAAATCAACTAGAATCAGAGTGACCTGGTGCTGAGTGCTGGGCTACTACGTTGGGTCGACAGAACTTGTCGCCGTCCGCGCGCGGCGCTCTTGGTCGCCCCAGAGCGCACTACGGGGCTGTTGCTCCTGAGCAACATAAGACGATACAAGCACTGCAAGAGTAAAGTGTCAAATTTTTACCTCCACTTCACAAGAAGGACACTCTATCCCCTTTTGTACCCCCCCCCCCCCCCGCGAGTGTGCTTCAGTCACCGGCGAAATTAAAATATGTTATACATACAAGGCTTGAATACAAAATTTTAACGAATTTTATTTTGCAGGCCTTCAGAATTTCACCGGACAAGCTGCCTGACAACTACAAGCTCATCGAACTTTCTCAGAGGTACCGTCACAGCCCTTTTTCTTTCGGCGAATTCTCATCAATGACTTAATAAAAAACTTTGATGCCTACTTTAATATAACGGTGTAGTAGGGTTCGCCCGGTCGGTCTCTTTTCCGGAAAAATTGGAAAAAAATTCGCTTTTTTCGAGAAAAAATCTTAGGGGTCAGAAAAATTGGAAAAATTGATTGAGCCTAACCTAACCTTTTCAGTGAAAAACACGCGAAAAATCTCCCTCTGCGCGCAATGAGGGACGAAAATACGATTTTTTCCACCTATTTTATTTTACCGGAAAACTGCGAACCATGTAGCGGACAACAGTGATGATCGAGAACCGCGATAACTCCGAATGCAGGTACACACATGATTCCCGTTGATTCCCGTCGCGTTTCTCATTGATTCCCGGCGATTCCCGGGCCGGTGTGAACACATGATTCCCAGAGTTATTGCCCCGTCGTCGAGGACAATTTGAGTTTTTGAATAACGAGCATTGTTGGTTGCAAAACAGCAACATGTTGGTTCCTAAACAGCCATGTTTTCCATAGGCAATTTTTTTTCCGTATAACAACTTTTATGTTTCCTGAACAACTTTCGTTGCTGCAGAACAACATTTGTTGTTTCTGAACAACTTTTGTTGCTGCTGAACAACTTTTGTTTTAGGCTAAATTAGACATTTATTTTCTTGTTCACCTGAACGACTTTTATTAGTCCTGAACAACTTTTGTTGTCCCGGAGCAACTTTTGTTGCTCTACAACAAGATTTGCCGTTAATCTAGATGATTACCGGTTGTTTTTGTTTTTAAGGAACCTAGCATAGATTTTCTCGTAAACCTACTGCTATTTAACGTGTGAGTTGAACTAAAATATTTGTTGGGGTGAATGTCATGGACACCTTATTTGGTCAGGGAAAAGTCTTAAACATGAGAGAATAGGGTCTTCCAATGGAGCGCGAAGCGGTAATAAGAGGAACAAAAACGGAAAGGCGCCCGCGCCTTCCCCCTCTCCTCTGCTGGGCGGAGTGTGGGAGCGCCCGGGGAAAAGTAGAGGGCAAATCCTTTCTAAAGCTAAAAAAACAAGCAGGCCCGCCCTTCCGCCAAACGAAGTTGCCAGCTTCGCTTCGCTGCGCCGGCAACTCCGTTCGGCAGGGGCCGGGCCTGCTTGGCCTGCCGGCGGCGATGGTCGGGCCTGCGGCCCGACCATTTCTGTCACGCGATTTGCTTAATGGGCCTTCGGCCCGCAAAGCCCGTCGTCCTTAAAATTTGCCCCGTAGACACGAAAAAGGGATGTAACGGTGAAGCACCGCGACTACAACCCACCCTTCTGCTTAGAAAACGTTTTTTGGGGTGGGGGGGGAGGGAGTTTCTTACCTCTTTTGCGGTTCTGGGCCTTCTTTTACATTTAATTGTTCACTACAGCAATTTTTAACTTATTTTCGTCAAACAAGACCCTCTAGCGCCTAAACGGTTAGAGATAGAGCCAAACAGACGAAATTTTTGCCCAAAGGGCTCTACTTTGACAAGTTACCCCTTAGGAGACCATTCAATATTTTCGGAAATTAATAAATTTATTTTTGGGCCACTTTTATGAGAGAAACTCCCTCTAGCGCCCAAACGGTAAAAGATAGAGCAAAACGGACGAAATTTTCGCCCTAAGGGCCCTACTTTGACGAGTTACCCCTTAGGAGCTCATGAAAAAATATTTTTTTTTTCTGATTTTTTTGACCTACCCCCTTTTCTTTGATACCCCCTTTCAGCCCTTTAGGGTTGGTTGCCAGGATTTGCCGTAGGCGTTTCGTTTTCTAGGAGTGAACCTTAAGATACCCTGAAAATTTGAAGTCTCTAGCACATCTCCTTCTAGTGGAACAGACAGACAGACAGACAGACACGAGGTCGTTTGCATAAGCCCGCTGGATAGCTTTTTCAAAGCAGAAGGGCGGGCTAAAAAAAAGGCGGGGAGGAGTGCGGGCGCCTTTCCACCTTCCGTTTTTGTTCTTCTTGCTTCCGCTCTGCGCTCCATTGGAATACCCTATTCAAAAGTTCCAACTCTGTTACAACTTTTTAAACTTTACTTTTCATGATCAAGACCTCCCACGGTGTTCGGATGGTGCCGCACCTGCAAATCTGGGGCATCAGAGCATTGCTTGGACGAGCACACGCCCTCCATCTGCAGCCTGAAGAAGGCGCGGCTGGAGACCATTCAACCACGGTTGGACGCACTGAGGGCCGGAGAGACGGCTCTGGTGGGACTTCAAAAGGTGAGAGATAGCACCAGAAACACTTCTTGGTCCCAGTGGATAAATATGTAGATGTACGCCAGACCACGTCTTGCGTAACAGGCTTCGCGATATATCACGAAACGCTGTTACGCTGCGACGCGCCTGGCATACACTGTAAAAAGCTTACGAACTGAATACTTTGCAACGTTACGAACAATTTTCGTTCTTTGTATTGCAAACAAATTGTTCGTATTGCAAAGCGATTGTTTGTAAGGCTAGACAGGGTCTATTTGTTCGTAAGCTTACGAACAATTAGTTCGTAATACAACGCTTCAAAATCCTTCGTAAGCTACGAACGTTTTGGTTTGCATTACGAACCTATTGTTCGTAAGCAATTAACAGTGTACATCTACCTAGGCCTGCGGCGCTGACACCCAAATCGGTCAAAGGGCACAGTCGTAAATAGGCCTTCGGCCCCAGTTTTGTTCCTTGTGGTTTTAGTTTGATAAGTTACCCCACCGAACACCATCAAATAGCTGAGAGTAAACATTAAAATGTTTTGGGGGCATTTACGTGTGAAAAGTTCCATTACTTTAAAAAAAAATGGTTTGGGCTTTTTGGTTTTTGATTGTTTTTACACGTAAATTTTTGAGCTAGAGGGCACAAAATCAGGAAAGTTCTTGCTCTATATGATTCAAAGTTACACTAAAAATTCCATGTACCTAGCTCATACCGTTCTCGCGTTATCGTGATATAGGGTATTCCGCTGCAAGCCAACCGGAACCTAATGAAGAAAAGCATGACTGCTCGATCTGTTTCCCTCTGCGCGTTCATTGGTTGACCGCCACAGCCACGCCATCTTTGGCCAATCAGCGTTCAGGAGGAAACAGATCGGGTAGTCATGCTTTTCTTCTTTAGGTTCCGATTGTGTTGTAGCGGAATGCCCTATTGCAGACAAACACACAGACATACAGAGACAGACACGAAACTCCTTGTTGCTCATCACTGGAGTAATAGGCTTCGCTAATCTCTCAGCCAACCATTGAAAATCTAAAACAACAAGCAGGCCCGCCCTTCCGCCAAACGGAGTTGCTAGCTCCGCCACGCCCGGCCCGAGCTACGCTCTGCCACGCTGAAAAACGACGGCGGCCCCTCTCGTCTGCTGCAGCATGAGAGAAGGGCGCCCTGGAGCAGAAGCCTTAGAGCGCCTGGACCCCGCCGCGCAAGGTTGTGTAGCAGTTCACGGCCGCAGTAATGGTCGGACAGACATGGGGTTTGGCTCGCCGTGTCCGCGAAGGTTCACAGAATCTGTAGTTACTTTCCTCTTTTCCGTGCGATGAAAATTGTCAGAGCGTGAGGGGCCCCAACGCGCTCCAGGGGCCGCGGCAAAGGGTGCGTCAGAG